TTTACAGTTTAGAAGTATTTATCTTGTCCTTAGAAGTTCTCGTTTAGACACACAGAATTGAATCAAATGGAATATTTGAAAATGTTTTGCTTCATTTTATTTTTTTCATTTATTCACTTGACTGACTTACTCTTAAGGTAGAAGTTTACTTTGCATGATTTAAAAAGTAAAACAAGTATACTCCATTTTTAAGTGATAACAGTGGGGTTGTATGAGATGATGAGCAGTGCATGAACAGTTAAGTTTAGGGAGAATAGACTAAAGAAAAAGGTGAGAAGGAAAGTTGAAGGGATCTGAGAAATTTTCACAGTGAAACGCTACCTCCTCTCAATTAGGAACGGCCTTCCTTTGAAGAGTAAATTGTGACCTAGGTCCATTGGGTTAGAGGCCCAGGAATCAAGGTAGAAGAAGAAACATAAAGAAATCCTTTGATTCAGGAGCAATAGTACTAAACAAGAAATGAGGTGTTAATGCAGGGAGAAGTGTATTGAGGAGAGATGGATTGATTTAATTTTGATAATGGTTAACTTTCAGTTGGACCAGGTTGAAGTCATCTGCATATTAAAGCCTTTTAGTCAGATTCCTGTTTAAAAGTGAAATTAGCTTTTTTAACTATTGGGTTTATTACATTTGTTTGAGGCCTCTCTCTCAGAAACACATTGCTATAGGATAACTACTTTCAAATTGTATCCTAAGTTTCTTCATAGTTGCTAAGAAGCGGTGGGGGAGTCAGGGCTAGTTTGTGGAAATTTTCACTCTTCCCTTCACCAAACTTAACCCCAAAATGCACCAGAAAACTACTGTTACAGTTTTTAGCACCTAGAAGTACTAGAAGATAGCAATGTAGAGCAATGGTTTTAGAAGTCAGGTGACCTGCTTTTTAGTACAGATTTAATCAGCAGACTGGGCAAATAATCCTATATTTCTGGGTCTTGGTTGCCTCATCTAGCTACTAAATTCCTTTTCCCTATTTTGTGAGCAGAAAAAGGAAGTTGTGTTTTTATTTGTATTACCTTCTAGCCTATCATTTTGATCTTTCTTGCTTGTATTTTAGTTTCTAAAGATAGGCATTACTATGGTACTACCCTGTAATACACCCAGTGGTGTATTGTACAGGAGCACTTCTGTTTGCTGTCTCCTTTCAGTGAATAGAAGACATTATGACCTGAATTTAAAAGAATATTTGTTTAATCTTTAGCACTACATAACACTGAGTAGTGTTTTGTAGCTAGTAAATACTAAGTGCTCTTCAAAAGCTTTACATTTCTAAATTCATCTAATCCTCCCAATAACTCCGTTTTTTTAGATGGGGAAACTGAGGCTCTGAGAAGTTAAGTAACTTGCCCAAGTTGCCAGAGCCAGTCTTCAAAACAAAGCAGACTCTGGTTTCAGAGCCTGTTCTGAATCACAGCACCGTATTGTGTTTAAAGTATACATATGTTGCTCCAATTTCTTTTAACGCATTACTGATGTCAAAGAAGAAAATAACTTAGTTATAACCATCTTTTCATTTTCAGGGCCCAGAATGTGTTCAGTATCTTCAACAAGAATACCTACCTTCCTTGCAAGTAGCTCCAGAGATAATTCAAGTAAGAGCTGCCCTAGCAGATTTTCCTCTTAATTTAATTAAAGAAATATGACTATAATTCAAACTAAATTTTGATCCAAGAAAGCCAAACTGCATTCAAGTTGATGTTTTACTGTGTGTAGGATAGCAAGAGCCCAAACTTGGGAGAGGGAGGGGCTCTGAAATTGAATAGGAAAAATTGTATTTTTATCTTCACTAACCTTTAATAGAGATATGATCTGTCATTGTGTAGGTGACAGATCACAGTAGTATTCGCGTTGCCGTGACTTTGTCATCAATAAGTAATCACAGATATTTTCTGTATCACTAGTTTCAGAGATCTCAAAATATTATTTACACTCAATAGTAGTTTGAAATTAGAAGTTAAGGTATGCCATTAGACCTTATTACTGAGTCTATTTTATTCTACCACATGCCAGAAAAAATTTTATAACCATAATTCAATATTAGTTTCCCTTGTAACCCCATGTGTTAAAAACCATTCTAAAAGGGGACCATGGCCCTAGAATCTGTTCTAAAGGTTTATGCCAGGTAGTTCATTTTATATGTGCTTGCTTTGTAAACCTGAAACTATATTTAGAGGTAAGGGGCTGGAAAGCTATCTCATTTTTGCAGTATTACAGAATAATCTTTAATGGCAGTTAGTTATTTTCTTGGCATATAGTTATCCAGACTGCTTGTCCTATAGCACATAGATTTGATACAGTGTCAAAGTTTTGATTAAAACTAGTTAGAATCTCTTGTGTAGATTCTAAGAATTGTTTCTTTATCAACAGTGATTTATAATGCTATTTTATAAGAGGCATTGAAAAAATTGAGTGCAAAATCGGATAGACCTCACATAAGAATAATCATCAAACTCATTTTTAATGAATTTATGGTCTCTATAACACATCATCTTTAACTTTATAGATATTAATGAATTTTCTCAGTTATTACTTATAAGCTAATATTTTATTAAAACAATAAATTACTGCCAAAACCGGTTTGGCTCAGTGGATGGAGCGTCGGCCTGCGGACTGAAAGGTCCCGGGTTCGATTCCGGTTGAGGGCATGTACCTGGGTTACGGGCACATCCCCCAGAGGGGGATGTGCAGGAGGCAGCTGGTCGATGTTTCTCTCTCATCGATGTTTCTGGCTCGCTGTCTCTCTCCCTTCCTCTCTGTGAAAAATCAATGGAATATATTTAAAAAAAAAAAAAACAATAAATTACTAGTTACTCATGTGATCTTAATGCTCATGAAAATAGAAATACGTCATTTGATTTTGAGTAGCTAATATTCTCCAGATTGCTGACTGAAACAAAATTATATTTCTATCTAATAATTTGATTAAGAAGGATAAGGATTTGGTCTGGCTTTGCTCAGTTACTAAGAATGGCCATAGCAGTGTAGTTTTTATCCTTTAGGAAGGAGAGCCTTATTCTCAAAAGTGAAAGCAGCCTGTCTGAAAAATATTAGACTTGAGCAAGATACTATATAACCTTTTTTGGTGAGGAACTGTTCAGGTTAATTTTGATGTTACAAATATTATAGGTTTGAAACAGTGCAAATGTCCATTCATAGATAAATGGATAATAGAGTGTGGTATGCAATGGATTATTATTCAGCCTTAAAAAAGAGAAATGCTGTCATACACTACAACTTGGACAAACCTTGGAGGTTATGCTAAGTGAAATAAGCCAGTCACAGACAAGTTACAAAATTCTAATTATATTGAAATACCTAAAGTAGTCATACTCTTAAAAACAGAAAGTAGAATGGTGGTGGCCAGGGGCTGGAGTGTGTGGAGAGTTGCATTGTGCATATAGTTAACACTGCTATACTGTACACATAAAAAATGCTTAAGATCACAATTTTAAAATGGTGCTGCGGATTTGAATTATTATGAATTTAATACAAATAAATTGATTCTCTTCTTTTCCCCCCTCGTGACTCCCCAAGGAGTTTTGTCAAGCTCTTCAGCAGCCTGATGCTAAAGTTTTTAAAAACTACTTAAAGGTAGGTATTTGAAAAACTTACATATCTTCATATAATTAGGAAACGTTTCAGAGCCAAGAGAGAATATATATTACTAGTGGCCTGGTGCACGAATTCATGCACATTGAAAGGAAATTAATTAGAAGAAATATTTTAATATCGCTCTTCCCTCTTTCTCTATAATAGAAGTATCAGAGATGAAAGAAAATTAGTAAAATGTATATGAAAATAATATATAAATTGATTAATAAATAATAACATGATATAACAACAGCAAAGACATAAAAAGAACAAAACATGATATAAAAACAATGATTGATAAATTGATTAAACTTATTCTAACACTGAGGCCAGTGTCAGATGGGGACAAATCAATTTTTGGAATCAGAACAACCCCTCCTCCGCAAATCCTGCTAATACTTCAGCTACAATTATGTTAGGTCGCAATCTTTTGATAATAAATCTAATACCATTACAAAGACCCCCATTTACCATTAAGATTTCTCAGCATGATGATTGCACCTACTTTCAATTCTAATTTACGACATGGCATTCCCGAAGGAGTAACACTTTTAAGAAATTCGATGGGAAAATTGTCCTTTTCAGCATCATCCGTTGAATCTAGTATTATTGCATTAAGACACACTGTCATCTCTGAGTCTTAATGCAGTATCCGTTCCCCAGCCTTCTCCACTATGTGGGAAAAGAATAGGATACTGATTTGTTTCATTTTAGTGGCATTCAGATTATTGGGATCTGGTTTAAAATGAATGAGCAAGTCCCCTTTCGAAAGGAGGTCCTCTGTCTTAGTTTCTGATTATGACGACAACCTTGGTTACCGGGGATAATTATCTCTACCCGAATCACTATTACGATCATATTTAATCGCCATTGTTACTTCCCTGCGACACTGCTGCTTTCTTTCAGCTTCAGAATGTCAACAGAAACAACCAAATTCACGATCATTGATGATAGATTGAAACACACACACATGCAATTGGCGCCAGGAGAGCTTTATATGTATCACACGTGCACAAGCCAACTTAGCCTTTTATAGATACAGAACAAACTTACTTAGTCCTGCTTTCTGATGTAGCTAAACTTTTTTCAGCCAGATTATTATTGTAGATCACGCAGGGAGAACATATTTAACTGCAGCAGTGTTTGACTATATTCTGTGCAGTGAGAAAATGTGAAGTCATTTTCAAGGTTCACCATTTCTTTTCAGTCAGGTCAAGTTTCTAAGCTTTCTAAATCTCCGTTTTCCAGCTAACGAAAAGAAATTAGGATTCCACCCAGTCTCCCATCTACCTACTCCAGGACTTTAGTGAGGATCAAATGAGATGAGGCAGGGGAAAACGCTTCACAGACATTTAATTATAGTATAATGTGTTTCCACCTGCGTATAAAGAAAGTCCGTGTTCCTGGGCTGAAGAAACTGCAAGGAGGCTAGTCGATAGGGAGAGGAAGCCAGGTGTTGCTATGTGATGTCATTACCCGGATGGTCTGGACACTTAGCATATTAGCCTTTTATATAGCTAGGATACTGTAGTTTGTTTTGTTTTGTTTTTTTAGTCCTCACCCGAGGATATGTTTTCATTGATTACAGAGAGAGAAGGGACAGAGACAGAGACAGAAACATCCATCGGTTGCCTCCTGTACTGTCTGCTCCCCCATGGGAATTGAATGCACCACCCTTTGGTGCACAGGATGACTCTCCAACCAACTGAGCCACACCAGACAGGACTCAGGCTGTTTAATCAACTATTACTTATTTTGGGATCTCTTTGCTCTAAAACATGCTCCTAAGAATCTATAGTTATGGATGTTATACTTTAGAGTCTTCTGTGAAACCCCTTTCAACTGAACATAAGATCATAGAGAGTTGGGTAAGAATACTGAATGTGTATGTGCCTGAGCATTTGGTATGAAAATGCCAGTTTCTTTTACAGTTTCATGATGTAATGAAATAGGAACAAGTAAATAGGAACAGTTTCCCATATTGAGTTGAAAGGAAGGATCTAAAAATATAAAAACGGAAGTATGAATTACTTGGGTGTATCCTATCTTGAAACTTGAATTGTAAAACAGACAAAAAGTAAGAGTCCTCAGATTTGGCCAGCAAGGCTCTTTATACATGTGTATAATCACTGAATTTTAAAAAACCCTCCAAATTGGGAAGAAGTACCAAATGTTTATTTGGTATTATATTTATAATTCTTGAGACAGCACTATTTTGCTTTCACCTAAGTGGTCATTCAGTACATCCTGACTGCTTTTTATGTAACAGGTACTATGCCAACTGCTGCAAATACCAATGAGTAACTTTCCCTGCCCACAAGGAGCTCCTGGGCTGGATTAGGAACTATTCTTTATTTTTTATTTATTACCTTCAACAAATCTGAGGACGAAGCACCATGCTAAATGTTTTGGTAGCAGGTAATTTAATGAATAGCTACCTGGTTATTTTGCCCAAAGCTTTCAAAAGGATTTATAAGTCAAGGGGCTTTGCAGAGTTTAAGTATCCTATCCTTTGACTTTTCCCCCAGTAGCAGTAGTAGTTTGTCAGCTTAAACTGACAAAAGGATTTGTGAGAAGAATGTTGAGAATTACTGTTTATCATCACGAATCCTCCCACTCCCATTTCCCCATAAAAGCAAAGTGCCTGTGAAGATAACCTATTAAATAACTAATCAATCAAACTGCATTAAAGGATTCAAAAAATTATAACTGTTAGAGGGGTCTGTAACAGCAGATATATGTACATTGTAGCAGGTTTATGCTCCAAACATATAATTTATTCAAACAGCATCCATAAAATGTCTTTCTCCCAAGTCCAACTTCTCTATATTGATAGCATGAAGTCATTGGCAGCATTATTCTTCTAGTTTGGAAAACTGAAGTTCCTTCTTTCATGCCTACTCCCTTCATGCCTGATGGACCCTCGGATTCTTTGCAGATTCTTCCTCCTCATTCACTTGCAGTCCCTTCCTTTCTGTCTGGGATAGGCTTGTTATCTTACTGATCTCCCTTCCCGTGTTCTCACCAAGCAGGTCTATTTGAAAACACTGAACAGACCCCTGAAATTCATTCCCCTAATTCATAACTTTCAAAGCCTGCTGTTGACTAAAAATACATTCATGTTTCTTAGTTTGGCATTCAGTGTTTTTTCATATATATTTTTAAAATATATTTTTATTGATTTCAGAGAAGAAGCGAGAGATAGAAACATCGATGGTGAGAGAGAATCATTGATCAGCTGCCTCCTGCATACCCCTACTGGGGATCAAGCCCGCAACCCAGGCATGTGCCCTGACCAGGAATCGAACCATGACCTCCTGGTTCATAGGTTGACACTCAACCAACCACTGAGCCACACCACCTGGGCTAAAAGTATTTTTTTAAGTTGTGTTTTTTTTAATTGATTTTAAAGGGGCAGGGGAGAGAGAAACATCGATTTGTTGTTCCATTTTATCTATGCATTCATTGGTTCACTCTTGTATGTGCCCTGACTGGGGTTTGAGCCTGGGCCTATCAGGACAACACTCTAACCATCTGAGTTTCCTGTACTTTTTAATAATCAAATAAATAATAAAACCCTTAAAGGATAACAACTACTATCTGTAGCTTTGATTTGTTTCTTCCTCAAAATTTAATTTCTCAGCATTAATTTTGATAGCAGTGCCTGCCAGTCAGCAAAATGTGTCTGAAGCATGTTTTCCTCTGATCACTTGACTCTCACAGCATTAGTGTAATACTTTATTTCAACTTAATATTGTCACCATAAGTTATCTATAGACTTTATCAAATTGTTCAATAGACAAAGTTCTTGTATTATGTGTGAATTTATGTGAAATGTTTTAAATACATACACATTTTTTAATATGTTTTTATTGATTTGAGAGAGAGGGAAACATTGATGTGAGAGAGAAATATCGATTGGTTGCCTCCAGTAGACACCTTTACCAGGGATCAAGCCTGCATGCTGGGTATGTGCCTTGACCAAGAATTGAGCCAGCGACCGTTGAGTGCATGGATGACGCTCAATCAAGTGAGCCACACTGGCCAGGGCAATATCTGCTGAATTTTACAAAAGAGTAACTAGCACTCAGCAACTTAAAGCTTCAAGTGAAAGATGGTATTTTCGGACATTAATACTGACTCTACCGTTACTTTATTTGCAGGTGTTCTTCCAGAGAGCAAGGCCCTAAGAACTGGATCTCCCTGTGCCTACTTCATGATCAGGATTTATGATCAGAAATTCCAGTTAATAATTTATAAAGAAGCAGTTTTGTGTGCCATTCACACTGGTCTTTTTAACTTGGCTCTGAGATTATTGTAGTATATGTATTGGGATTTTTCTGTAAAATGTGTGTAATTTTCCCTAAGTATGGGTATGTGACAACAAGAGAAGTTGCTTGCATGCCGATTCAAATTGTTCTATATAAAAAAGCTGTTAAAAGATACAGCAGAGTTATCCTAGTACCATTTTATTTTTACTTGAAACTTTTAAGTCCTTTAAAAACCATAGCAGGAAAACTGTACTTTTTTAAATTGCAGAATATAAAATGTTTGAAATTTTAAATTTTCTTTTATGTGTGCAAAGTATGGGGGTGGGATACAACAAATCAAAACTAATCTTTTGTAGATAGCCATTACATTTCTTTAAAATGTTTCAATGCCAATAAGTATTCTACAAAGAAAGAATGGTTTCATAAATTAACAGATTTAAGAGTAGGTACCAGTGTTACACATTTTTTTATAAAAAAAATAAAATAAATTTTACATAGTGAATCTACCAAGTCTTTTTTGGAATTATTATAAATATTTTAGCCTTATTTTCTCATTTTATCTTTCCGTGATTTCCCATTTAAAGGATTGCACACATGAGCTTACAGATCCTTTATTTTATTATGTTCCTAAAAGGCTATATGCAACTTAGTTCTATTAAATAGAATCTTTTTTAAATGCCCTAGAAAAAGCCTGTGTGATTCTGTTGATAGAATTAAAAATCCAATTTCTTCTACCTCTTTTATTGGATCTACGTAGGGCACAATATACCTATGTCTTTGATGCTTATAACTAGTTGCTGCCCATTTAGTTAATAGAAGAAGTACCTTCCCCTGTCTTCTCCCATTTTTATTCATGACTGCAAGGAGGCAAGAGGAAAAACAATAGTATTGGAAAATTAAGAAAAGAGGGACAACACTGAGTAGCAGAATTACTATAGTTATTCAAGTTTAAATTCTAAAAGTCTAAGATTTTAAGGGAGGGTTGGGTATTTCTGTGGATTTTTTTTTTTTTAACCTTTAGCCAATATGGTCCCTAGGGATTTCATGGATGAGCTTCAGTGGTCTATAAATTCCCTAAAATTGTATTCTAAATTGTGCACATACACCTTTTTCTTGGGTTAATTCTAGAAGTGCTTTTAAACATTTTCCTTATGTTATAGAATAAACATACTGAACTAAGTTGACTAGATCAATAGAATGTATATTATACTTCAATAAGGATTTTTTAAAAATACATGATTAAAAGCTGAGTGCTTTGTGTATGAGTTCCCTTGTACTATAGGAGAGATAATTGCATCTATTGCAATAATACTAATTGTTTAAAGTGTGCTAATTAGTATCATAGCATAGTGGTCAAGAGCACAGGCCTAGGATCCAGATAACGGTTCATATAAGTAGGTTCAAATAACAGTTCTGCCAGTAACTGGTTTTTGAACCCTAAGGAAGTTCTCTCTCCACAGTTTCCCCAGGTTCAAAATGGGAGAAATAATGGTAGCTACCTCATAACTAAACTGATTAAGTTAAACATGAAAAGAGCTTATTACAATACCTGCATACGAAGGCTTGATACAAGCTATGGTTACTGTACTATTAATTCCACATATGTAAAAATGACACCTCCTTTCTCCCTTTTTAAAGCCCTTCAAAATATTCACATGAGTTCAGAGCTAAGAGAAATCAAGACATGGAAATTAAGAGTGTAATAAAAATGAAACTTCATGTTATACAACCATGTGTAATTCCTATCTTCATTCCTTGAAGTTTCCCAGAGCACTTTACATAGAGTGCCATAGTAATTAGGAAACTGTTCGATTATAAATTACCTTATTTGTATTGCATTGCACCCCATTTCCAAAAGCAAGCACTCAAATAATTGTCACAAGGGCGAATCTCACCAGTTTACTGATGAGATAACATCGAGGCAAAAAATTTAGGGATTTGTGTGACTTGACTATGGAACCACAAGGATTTTATGATGCCTGGTTTAGTTCTGTGCCTAATAGTTGTATTTAAATCGTAAACACTTACACTGGTTCACAAGTGGCTTGACCTTTAAGAAAACACTGGTATTCCAATGTGTATCAATTACTATGTGGTAAATATGTGAATAAAAGGCTTGGGCTCAGCTCATCACTTCTCCCATAAACTTTGAGCTATGGGCTTCACTGTTGCAAGGAGCTTTGACGGGTCCTTGGCATTAGATATGGGAAAACTGGTTGGAATTGTATGCAGTGAATAGATTTGTCTGTTGTTAGAATGACTCCACCACTGAAACATTGTTTAAAAGTCTAATAAAGTAACTTCCTTTGTAACAATGCATCACAGCGGGCTTTTGTTACTGTAGTTGTGTATATAACAGACTTAGAGAGGTAAACAAAACAAACAAAAGACAAACTTGTTTGAAGTACGGTATTTGGCAGGGAGAGCTGGAACAGCAGCCCCAGGTCTGTTCCATTCAAAAGCCTCTGCTCTAAACCGCTCTCGCGCTTTCCCATTTCTTGCTGGTTCTCTTTTGGGAAGCTCTGCGTCAGCCAGTAGTCTGAGCTCTCATGTTGAGAAGGCTGCAGTGCTGTCAGTCAGCAGAAGGGTTGGCTAGCTGCCTGAGATCTTGGCAGCACGAATATTGCTGGGCCTGATTTTAGTCCATAAAAAGCTCTCCAGTATTGTCATTTTCCAAAATACCGCTTAAAAGAGGGACTTAAAAGAGCTTATGTACATTAAGACTTTCACGAGTGAATTAATAAGAAGCGATCATCTAGCTCCACGGCAGCCAACCCTGTCTTGAAAACAGATACAAATCTATCCCTTCGGACTCGGATGTTCCCCCGTGAGAGCCCCTCAGGTGCCCAGCATTCTGCACGCCGGTGATTCGATTGTTACAATGAGGACTTCCGTTCTGTCTGCCCCACCGTCGCCCCACGCCGCACTCTGCTCTCCGGGACGGGGCGGGACTCGCGGTTATGGGAATCGGAATCATTGTGCAGGGCTCCCCGGTTTCACCCTCAGAGAGAGGGGTGTCGCGCTGCAGACACCCCCAGCTTCCCCGCCCCTCACTAGAGACTATCGGCGAACCCACCGCCGCCGCAGCTTCCGAGGCTGAGGCTGGACCCTAGGGCGTGCGCACGCGCACACGCGCGCACCGGCCCTCGATCACGTGGCCCCCGGACAGGGTTGGCGAAGCCGGAAGTGTCCCGAGGCGCTGGGAGGCCGCGGGAGCCCGCTGGCGGTGGCGCG